AGTAATCATCTTTATCTGACTCTGACATTACCATGGTTACCATGAGCAGATAATGTAGAAGACAGACTGTGATCAGTCCAAGTTCTGCACTAATCACTGCTGCTAATACCTGCACTGCTCTTTCATTTTAATTCAGATATATATGTTACACATCTTTATGGTATCTTTATGATCATTTTCTTGTATTCCTCCTCTATATATATGTTTCCTAGTTTCTGCAATACTAGCTTTTATTTTTTCTCTCTCATTATGTTTGTGCTATGTAGCAGAGGTGGGCAATATATCTATTAGATATATCTACTGCTATTGTACAGTCAGATTTTGCGACCATGGAGCACCTGTGTGACATGCAAATACTATTTATATATGATTTAGAGAGCTGTTAGTTTTATTCCATCTCACAGTGAATTAATTCTCATGTTTAACGTTGTCATGGTAACAGTTTAACTGCGTTTGTTTTTGTATTTGCAGAGCTCCACAGTGACTGTTTTGTTGCATTTTGCAACCATGGAGCACCAGTGTGCCTTGCAAATACTATAAATGTATGTGTTTGTTTCCAGCTCACAGTGAATGACTCTTCACGTTAACAGAAGCAGCGGTAACAGTTTAACTTTACGCTAACTGCTAATATCTTAGTGTTGAAAAGAAGCTTCAAGTTCAGCTGGAGATGAGCCGGGGCCTTCAAAATAAAAGCATTAGTTACTTATAACAGTACCTTATTTAACTTTATCGTGACAATACTTAAATTAACTTAAATACAACAGAACTTTAATTAATTTATTACACCAGTATTTTATTTCACTTTATGTCTTTGTTGTCTTTGAATTTTACGATGTCAGTACATAATTTGATTATGACAATATTTTATTGCACTTTATAATGACAGTACATTAATTAATTTATTCTAACAGTACTTTATTAGAACAATACTTCATTTTACTTTATTGTAAAAGTGCTTTGATAACTTCATTATAACAGTACTTTATTTTACTTCACTATGACAGTATTTTAATTAATTACTTTTAACAGTATTTTATTTCACTTTATTCTAACATTACTTTCATTTAAGTTTATTATGGCACAACTTTAATTAATTTCTTATAACAGTATTGTATTTAACTTTATTGGAACAGTATTTTATTTTACTTTATCATAACAACACATAATTAAACTTAGGACAGTACCTTAATTAATTTATTATAACAGTATTTTATTTCAGCTTATTCTAACATTACCTATATATAACAGTACTTTACTTAATTTGATATAACAGAATTTTATGATGCCAATACTTAAACTATGACAATTTTTTATTTTACTTTATAATGACAGTACCTTAATTATTTATTTTAATAGTATTTTACTTTACTGTAAAAGTGCTTTGATAACTTTATCATAACAGTACTTTATTTATCTTTACTATGACAGTACTTTAATTAATTTTACCAGTATTATATTTCACTTTAATCCAACATTACTTTTATTTAATTTTATTATGGCACCAATTTAATAGATTTATTATAACAGTATTGTATTTAACTTTATTATAGAACAGTAGCCACATTATTTTAGTTCATTGTAACTGTAGTTTATTTTATAGTTTATTACTCTAGTAGTTTACAGGAGATTTTAAAATATCGAGACATATGCTGTGTATCGTGATATTATTTACAGGCCATATCACTCAGCTCAACTATGCACCAATACACCAGTTCCTCAAATGTGAAAACCTGTTTATCAATAAACCAGATTCTGATTCTGAAAGACTGAATAAAGTCTGAACGTCAGCCGCTGTTTTGGAGAATCGTCCAACATGGACATTCTGGTCTGCTGGTTGTTTCTGCAGCACACATGATGTGTCCCTGGAGTCCAGAGGACGCCAGAGTTACAGAGACATTCAGCCTCAGTGTGGCTGACGTTACAGCTGAGCGTTAGAGTGTTCAGCTGCTTCAGGCGGCGTCTTCGCAGCACGTCTTCCTCGGCAAACTGTTGTTAGTGATAAAGATGCACAAACAGTCAAAGTGTCCTCGGTTTAACTGTCAGGATGTGAGTATGTCTCTGCCAGCGTGTGGGAGGACGGGGGGCAGCCGAGCGGCTCTGTATTGGAAAAGCACTCAACAATAGCAATAAAACTGATTAAAGTGTGTGTGTGTGTGTGTGTGTGTGTGTGTGTGTGTGTGTGTGTGAGACACTGTTTGGGGTGAGTGCGAGAAGAAATCGTCAAAAAACATAGGGGGGGTGTTTATCATGCAAATGGCTGAATAATGGATGCGCTCAGAGCCGATTTGTCTCCGACGCTAATTTGTCATTGGCTTTTTGGGAGATCTATGAGCATAATAATGTACACACGCACACACACACACACATACACACACACACACACACACACACACTGCGACACTGCCTCACTAATTGCTGTATTGTGCAATTGCTGTTCCAATTAAGTTATGGGTAAACAGAGGAGTGTCTTTGTATGTTTGCCTGCCATGACTAAGAAAGGAGTGTGTGTGTGTGTGTGTGTGTGTGTGTGTGTGTGTGTGTGTGTGTGTAAACCTGATGGTGACAACAATGGACTCACAGTGAGTGACAGCCAGTTAAAACACTGTTCTCCTTCACACCACAGATCACATTATTGTGACTGACAGACGGCTCATTCATTCACGTAAGTCACAACTCAAACGTGATTCAGAGGCTCGAGCGAGAAGCTGCAATTTCACGTCAAAATATAATTAAAATGTACGTGTGTGTGTTACTGCTGCAGACACACAGTCATGGAGCCTCTCCCTGTTGATGCTCTGGTATTTGAGATTGGAAACTTGCCCGCTGAACTCAGGCGGCACAATTAATCAAATATAAATCACAATCACGATTTTGGCTTCGTGATCGACTGATACTGATGTTTAAAATGCTCCACTCATAGAAAACCCAGCTGCTTCCGAAACTAACAGCCAGACTCCACTTCTGGAGAGCTGCCTGCTGCACGTGCACCCCACAGCAGCAGCAGTCTGTGACAAACTTTCCTGAATGTGTCAGTGGCAGACGGGCACAAATCAGCTGCCATCAACTTGTCACTCCAAGTCATCGAAAACTGCACTTCAGTAACTTCCAGCGTCAGCACGAAACCAAATAAGCTGTCCTCTCACATTTGCAGGATATGTGGTCGGTCGCTGTTATTGTTTAACGGTGCCAAGCAGCATCGGGGGAATGAAGTGGGACAACAATGAAAGTTAAGGCATAAGAAGTAGGGCAGGCAGGAGGGGTGGTGATGGGTCCAACAGCCACCAACTTTCACCCGGGAGGCCGGTGTTCACTTCCTGTAAGATTATAAAGCCAAACCCCGTTCTTTTTTCCTAAACTCGACCACGTATGTGTTGCCAAAGAAAACAAAATGTAAATTTGCGGTGTTGTAACGATTTAGTGCTTTTATTTTGAAAGAGACCAGGTGGGGGACGGCAGCTGATGAGAGTTGTTTCAGTGAGGAAGACAGACCGAAGTTTGTCTTCAGTTATTGTCCATATGTCTTAATGTCTACCAATAAACTGTCGATGGAGTCACAAAGCGAAGCTGACCAAGTGACGGCCGTCAGGTCAGTGCCAGAACAGCAAGGCAAAAACGCTCACTCCCTGGTAGCATATGTACGGGTAGCCAAGTCCTAGAAGCCCAATGTGAGTGTTTGCCCTCAGTAATAGTACCAAGCGCTCAGGGTTGTGTTTGCAGTGACAAAGTAGTTTGTAAAGAGTGCAGAGACTCGTGTCTGCGGCGGAAAACAACACCTGAGGAGACACCACAATCTGCAGGATAAGGAACGAATGAAAAATGAATAATGTCGCAAATGTTCCCTTGCTGACTTCCTGTCCTTCTCCAGCGTCATCTTAGTTATCCCTAACAGTGACGCTGCAGCGTGTCACAGCACTGTGACCGCTGTAAACTAAATAAATAAACCACAAATCATATGATATGCTTTGCTTCTTCGTAAACTTCCAGAATTAGCTGTTGCTCAATGAGAGTAAAGTCTGCTGCACATGTCTCCTCCGTTTTCAGCCCAACCCCAATACCCCCTCTTGCCCACTACCCCTTGGCCCTCGAAATGAAGCAACGAGGGGTAGAAATCTTGCCCTAGGAATTGGGACACCACTCACTACGTCACCACGTCGGTTACGTTCACGCATATGTAACTATTTTAAACGGGAAGCTGCGAGCCATCTACATTTCCAACCGGCATCTGCAATGGAGTCTCCAGTTGAGTTCATCCTACCGATCACGTTTGTTGCATTCATCATGCTTCATTTGATGAACAACAGATAACAGGGGACTTCTGCTAGCTAGCTAACCAGCTAATATTACGAGGCAGCATAGTTATACTAGCTGGCGTGTTATCATAATGTGAAAAGTCAGACAATTGTGCAGAACAAGACAGATGACAGACGCCAGATAGTGCGAGATAGCTAGCTAGCTAACAAGCAATCTGACGACGGTAACGTTAGCTATGTATGAACTTTTTTCTGTCTCTTGCTCGGTGGTAGCCATGGCGACGTCTACCCCTCGCTGGCAAGTCAGCATCTGAAATCCCTCGCTCCGAAGGGCTAGTTTCATAACCACTACCCCTCGTTATGCCCCCTACCCCTACATGCAAAAAGGAATTGGGACACCACTACCCCTCATGGGAACGCACAAATGTAGGGGTAGGGCCAAGGGATAGGGCTAAGGGGTAGGGCTAAGGGGTAGGGCCAAGGGGTAGGGCCAAGGGGTAGGGCTAAGGGGTAGGGCTAAGGGGTAGGGCTAAGGGGGGGTATTGGGACGGGCCCTAAATGTGTGATCAGTGTCATGGTCTGTTGAAGAAACCAGGAACGTGCATTTATCCAAAATACTTACACCTGACTTCACCTAGTCGCACCTTCTCAACGTGGTTCAGCCAACACAGAGAAGACTAACTTTATCTGTTATCCTGGATTTCTCACACACACACACACACACACACACACACACACACACTGTCTTACCTTGCGTATGCCCTCTGACGGGCTGGACACGGAGTAGTCCATGCCGTTGTTCTTGCTGATGGTCCTCCACAGCTCTGCGTAGGTGCTGTCCTGCTCCAGAGGGTTGGTGCCTTTGTTCCTGAAGTAGTCGTAGACCGCCGAGTCCCTCACCGTGCCGTAGTCCACGTCGATCTGCCGAGCCAAATCCTGGAACGACCTGGAGGACATGACAAAGAGATGGGAGGGACTGTTACTGTCTCCAATTCACTCATTCATCAGTTAACTCTTCTGTGTTCTGGCATCAAGTGATCAAACATGGGTCAGCTCTGGCCCACGTGTACAGCACAGCAGCTGCAGGGTTTAGGGGTGGAGATTTGGCCATGAAGAAGCTCCAGTTACGACGCCATACACTGGAAAACTTTGAAAATTTTGGATTATGTCGCCTCAACTCTCTCAGCCTCCGTTGGTTAGCTGCACAGTGGGAGGAGACTGTTGGAATGACATCCCTCTCCCCAGCAACACTTTCCAGCTCCTCCTGGAGGATCCCGAGGCCATTCCCAGGCCAGATGAGATATGTAATCCCACGTCCCCCTGGTAGGAGGCCCTGGGGCAGACCCAGAACACACTGGAGGGATTATATATCTCATCTGGCCTGGGAACACCTTGGGATCCTCCAGGAGGAGCTGGAAAGTGTTGCTGGGGAGAGGGATGTCTGGAGTACTTTGCTTGGCCTGCTGCCCCCGCGACCCGGCCTCAGATAGGCGGATGAAAATGGATGGATGTAACCTTTATACTCTATGTTCCTGTATTTTCAGTGATATATTGCATCATGTTTTGGTCTGAAACATGTGTCGTAAGTGATCATAGACGACTCTTCAAACGCTGAAAGCTTCATTCCTTCTAGAAAACTGACTATGACTTTGTAAACTGTAATATAATCACAGCTGTTTTCTTCAGAGCATCAATATGACAGGAAACTGATTTCAGGTCAGCTCCTGTATTTGTAAAGACCTGCAGCGTGTGGACACTGAAGAGATGGGAGACCAGTTTTAATCAACGACACCCTCGAGACCAACTGATTAGTTTCTGCAGCTGCCTCGAGACATTTCAACAGCAGAGTGGATTTTATTTTAATAAAACAGAACAGCAGCAGCATCGGATCCATCAAAACAAACACCAGGAAGAATATTGATTCTCTAATAAACAAAAGTAAAGATGAAACCAAAAAAGAATAAAAACAGATTCTTTGATAGACCTAACCCTAAAAATTTAAAGTGAATTTTAAAACTCCGACATATAGAGAACAGGAATAATGTTCTTTATAAACGAACAATAAAAATCTGAAAATCACTGAAGCTAACAGCTCTGTTCAAAATCAAAAATGATGTTTTTATGTGGTGTGTGTTTGAAGGATTATTGTGTTGTTTCATAGTGTTTGGATCATTTACAATACTTGACTTAGATTTTGGATTAAAAAGTGTCTGTAAAACTAAAATAAAACTTTATGTGACAGATTTCTAGGTTTTAAGTTTGTGTGGAGTCCAGAGAAATTATGTTTTTTGAGGCAAAATATTTTGTTTAAGCATTTTTACTGAGACATTGCTGCGTTTTCACTGATGATTTTGCCCCCAACCTGCATATTTTAAGCCACAACATGATCTTTTCTAACCATGACTATCGACCCATTCCCACCAAGCTGTAGGGTTCAGTTCAGTGCACATTTCTTCTGTTTCCACAGTGAAAAGTTGTGGATGGTCCCAGCAGAAGCGTTCCTTAGCGTCCCCATGTTTGGTCCCCCCTCTGTTGGGGTACCTAGCACACAGATCTGGTACTAAAAGGTGGAGCTAGAAACCCTGCAGACTGATTGGTCAGTAGAGGAAAATCACTCTGGTTTTATGTAACCTCTGTTCATACATCAGTAAACTACAACTATAAAATGAAAGAGAAAAAAATAACTTCATTCACTGGGCCGACTGCCGGCAACTTTTAAGGTGGAACGTTAACTTGTAATGATCACTTTAGTTTTTATATGACTCACACTTTTAGTAATGACTTTAAAAATATAGATTAATTTGGAGCGGATTATGTGAAGGTCATATATTCTATGCTGACGATACAACCGTCATTGGCCTGATAAACTCAAATGACGAGTCACACTACAGATCTGAGGTAAAAAATGTAGTGAAGTGGAGTGAGAACAACAATCTGATCTTAAATGCTTCCAAAACAAAGGAAGCTGTTATTGACTTTGGCCGCAAGAATGAATCCCACCCCCCTCTCACCATAAACAGCACAGAGGTTGAGATGGTGAGTAGTTTTAAATTTCTTGGTGTCACTATCACTGATCATCTCAGCTGGCACTTAAACACCAGCATCATTGTTAAAAAAAATCACTGCAACAGCTTTTCTTTCTGCGCAAATTAAAGGAATTTACCTTAAACTGCCAGATTTGATCAAATTTCTATCGTTGCATGATTGAAAGCATCCTTACCTCCTCGCTTACAGTGTGGTTTGGTGATCTAAGTGTACAGGATCGAAAATCCTTAAGCAGAGTCGTTCGGTCTGCCCGCAGGACCACTGGTGCTGACCTGTCAGATCCTGATGTCATTTACGGCTCCAGGCTTCTGTCCCGCGCCTTAGGTATTGTAAACGACCCTACTGGTCACCCTGGTGCTGGTCTTTTTGTTCTTCCATCCGGCAGACGCTATCGTTCTATCAAATGTTCTTCCTCTCGGTCTGCCAATAGTTTCTTTCCCAGTGCTGTGCGTAGCCTTAACAACTTCATATCACATACTTAACAATGTATGGTGTATGCTTTATATTTCTTGTACTTGTGTATAAATAATGCACTTTATATTCATGCACTTTGTCCAAAGTGAGTGTCGGTTGATCTATGGGGGCACCTGTCTTTTTATTACTCTTATTTATGTATTTATTCATTGTTTTTTTAACCTTGTCTACTGTTTTTCATGTATTTTTATGCTGAGCTCTTGCAACTCATTTCCAATGCAGTTTTTCTGCAAATGGCAAATAAACTGATTCTGATTCTGGTTCCTCACTTCCTGCGGGCTACAGCAACACTAAACCCCTGAGCTTGCCTGCTATTTTTAAATATCCCATGGAGAGAGACTCTCACTGCAGCCTGTTCTATTTTGTTGTGAAAATGTGGGCGTGCAGCCTCGTTCTGTGGACGATAAACCAGGTGCAGACTTCCATCTGTGTCACCGCTGATGAGGAAATACAGCGAGTGCTGGACGGAGCAGTGAGTGACAACAACCCCGCCCACATTTAAGAAGACTGTCTGAACACACCGAGGGTCTAGGTACCATGTCTGAAGGGTTACTGCTGGTTCCAAAGGTGCTGGACTGAAAGGGTTTGGTGGAGACGAGGCTTATGTAGTTTAGTTTAGCACATGATAACCTCAGCATTGTTTAGATGTAAAGACAAGTAAAGTTTCAGTGTATCTGCAACATAATGATGTGCAAATAAAACATATTAGTGATTTGCAGAAATGCTCTACACCAACATTTATTCTGGGTTGGACTGATTTGCTTGGAAGTTTGTGTTACTTCTTATTTTTGATGATAATGACCAGACACAAACTATGAACACTTGCAGACACACAGAGAAACTGGAATTAAAATTATGACGTTTTAGGTCGACTCCTTGATTTGAATTTTAAAACATCATCAGATAAATTTAGGATCTTTTTCAGGGTGCTGCTGCAGAGATGAACAGAATCAGTGAAAAAACTTTAAGAAAATAAACTGACAGAAATGAAAAGTCAATCAGGAGAAGATTGCTTTAAAAAAGGAACCAACACCAGACTCAGACAGGAAGTGACACAGTAAACAGTCAGGACAGACTGAACATGTGTGTCAGCGTTAACGCCTTCACATCCACTAAAGCTAACAAGCGATGTGTTATAATGACAGGACAGAGACGACACATTAGTGCAGCAGATGTTTCCTGCCTGCTGTTTGGACACTGATGGGACCCGTCAGGTGGTGCGCCTCCATAAGTGGGAACTCCGGTTCTAACTGGAGGTTCTGGTTTGCTGAAGACGAGGAAATCTTTCTGACACATGAAACATGACCTGTTTCCTGCAGCTGAACACTTTTTCAGTCACGTGATGTTAGTTGTGTTGAAATTAGATTTTCTCTTAATGTTCATATTAATTTCAAACCGTGTTTTCGTGCATGTGGAGCTGACTGATCACAGCTGCTGTCAGAACGGTGTCGACTCAAACGTTAATAATGGTGGAGTCTTAATGAGATAATTGCGGCGCTGGTGGAGGTTAGAGATGAAGTCTAATTGGATTTGCAGCAGGTGGATGTATGGAATCCAATACAATATGTGTGTGCCTGCAGGGCGGCTGTTCGATTCAGCATCATCATTCAAACATTAACGACAGAGCAATTTATTTATGTGGAATTAACATTATATTCACCTGCAGGTGGACATTCATCTTTCATCAGAGCTACTTTTGTTCATTTTCTAAATTAATATTGGTTTATTCATTTCATCTGTAGTTCTGGGCTTCACTCCTGTTTCCTGTTTTATTCTCTGTGAAAACATGAATAAAAGCTCCAATAAAAAACTATTAACATTTATCTGCTATAGACTACTGAGTTTAAAACAAACTGTTCTTTTAGAAACATGCCAGATACTAACGCTGTTTCACACTAAACAAATCTGTCTAAAAGAATTCAAATGGACATTTCTAAAAACTGATTTTCTTAGTTCTTATGGGTTTTTTATTGTTGCTGAGAAAAAAAATATTTGGATAGACCTCAAATCCAGCAGATATGAAGAATGAACCCTTTGTTCCAACTGATGTCACACCTCCAGTTAAAGCTAGCCTCCTGCTGAATGGGGAAACGTCTTATCAATTTCAATTAGTCCATCAATCAATCATTTATCCCAGGCCAGACGAGATATGTAATCCGTCCAGCGTGTTCTGGGTCTGCCCCGGGGCCTCCTACCGGTGGGACGTGCCCGGAGCACCTCCAGTGGGAGGCGCCCAGGAGGATCCTGATCAGATCCCTGAACCACCTCCTCCGAGAATCGCCGCCTTAACGCGGAGTTTGTGTGTCCTTGTGAACCTGGGAGCTGTGTTGTCTGGGGCTAATAGCCCCTGGTAAGGTCTCCCAAGGCAAAGTGGTCCCGGGGGAGGGACCAGACTAAGAGCGATTCAGAGACCTTCGATGAAGCAGA